TATATATATATATATATATATATATATATACACATGTATATATATAAATAATGGTCCATTAATTGTGACCAAACTATCATACTGTGACTAATGTAGCGAGTTAATATGGGGCAACTGGGTATAAGGTATATGGGGATACTCTGTATCATCTTCCCAAGTTTTCTGTAAATCTAAAACTATCCTAAAATAAGAATATTTATGAAGATCATTCCCCATGATTTCTATATAACCTGAAGTGAACACCAAACAAACACATTAGTTGACGCCCTTGCTCTTTGGAGCTTGTATTGTAAGCAACAAATCAAGACAAATATGAAGAGTGGAAGGAAACATTTACTGAGGGCTTAGTGCATTCAACAACCTGCACTGGGCATATTGCATATACTGCCCAATGTTCTCTTTACTAAATCCAACTGAGATTGTTATGATGATTCATATTTTGCTCACACAGAAGAATACTGCTAACATTCGCTAAGTGCACTGGGGCCAAATACCGTGCAAATCACTCAGGGACATGATTTTGTTTCATTCTCTTACAATTCTGCTTCATTATTCCGCTTTTGCAGAAGAAAAATTTAAGATCCAGAGAAGTCAGTTTCCTAAGTCCCCATGGTTAGTACATAGTAAGGCTGGATTCAGATATGAAGACTGTCTGCTCCCAGTTACTGCAATGGTTCTCAATGTGTGATCTGAGATGAACTCCCCCTTAACCACGTGGGACGGGTGTAAAATGCAGATTCCCAGGTGCTGCCCCAGCTGTGGGCTATTCGGCCTCTGGCTCATGCAGGTGATCCCATGCATGCCACCTCCATTTTTTTGCTGCCTCTCAGATATTCTGCTGAACTTGGCTCTCTGGGTTATCATGGGGAATGCCTATTGGTTAGACCTGTGTGTCAACCCAAGCAAGCACATTACCCACCCCCCATGAATATACTGCCCGTTTCTGATCCTCAGATTGTGACTAGCACCACCTCAACCCCCAGTCTTTGTAAGTCCACCCGGACCTGTTTTTCTTTAGAATCAGACTAATTTCTTTCAGGCCCAGGGGCTAGTGTACCACATTTATTACCGTCCTTATTAATTCTGCATTTGAAACTGAAATATACAGAGTGTTTTGCAAAGATTTGATTTTACATTGCTATCTTCTGATTTCAACAACTTACTCAAAATGTGGCACCTGTGCTCTTGGAAACAAGCAAAGAAGAAAAGTCAGTCAATTGCTCCAAGAGCAGGAATGGGCTGAATTTACGAATGATCACCTCCCACAAATGCACAAAGTCGTGTGGTTTGAACAGCAGTTGGTTCATTTGACAGCCGCTTATGAGTGAAGATGAGCCAGGGCTAGAGACAACAGAAGCCTGAGAGCTGGCTGTGTCCCAAACCTTGGCTCCAGTTCTTGACCACCTCCTTCCCAAAGTTTTCTCATCTACAAATTGGAGATGCTACATCTGCCTTCTAAATACCCACATGGTTCGGTCAGATTGCAACAGGAAATCTTTTATAGGTACCATATTTTGTTTCTTCATTAGAACTGCTGGAGAACTGCCAACTCAAATCAGGGTCTAATCTTCTTAGAAATCTGTGTAAGCAAATTAGTTACTGACATACACAGAGTTAGATGTCTCACTATGTCTTACTATGTTAGTAAAAAAAAGTCATTTATTACTGCCTCCCTATGACACGCTCACCCTGATAAAGGGACAACAGCCTGATCCATTCCTCTAGGAACTAGGTAATATAATGCCAACTTAGAGCAGTGACAAAGGGCTCAGAGTAACACACATTCCAGATCTGCAAGGACTACGCTGCTGTGCTTGCTGTCCACCTTCACTAGCGTGTTCTGTGTTATTGCTGAAAGGACATGCAAGAAAGGAATGTTCAATAGCATAGAGCACCCTCCCCCAAGTCACCCAGAAAAGCTGAGACACTGAAGTGTGGTTAGGAGAGTTTACCGAAGCAGGAGGAGGGTGAGGTGACATCCAGGGTGGGCCTGAACAAAAACTTCAAAGCTGCACATCTCTCTCCCACCACCTAACCCAGATTTCTGACGATAATCACAACACTGCATCTCAATACCCTAATTATGCTGCTTCTCCTTATCTTGACACTCAGATTCTAGGATAATAGAAGATGTATTACATGTAAACCAATTATAGGGGACAGAGGAATTTAACAAGATAGCAACGTATGCCATGTGATCGTCCAATTATAATCTTTTCTTAATTACCGTGAGCTAAACAGGTGCTATCACAGATTTAAAAACCAGTCCTAAATCCTGCATTTGAATTTTTTAAAAGCACAATAGAGGGTAGATTAAGCTTTCTTTCATTGGAAGCGTTTGCCAGGGGCCCAAAGGTGCTTGTCACAACAAAGGGAAGAAGGTCGCTTGGAGAGCTGGAAGTCCATCTGGCGGTGGTCTCGGTGAAAGCCACGTGGCCTGGGAGCCTGAAGGGGAAGTGTCTGTCCCCCAGCATTCCATAGGCCACCCCAGATGAGGGGAACGGGCAGTGGGCTCAGAGGAAACCATATGTGTGTTTCAGAGCTCATGGAAGCATGCCAGAGCCCCAACAGATCGGTATTAATTAGCCCAGAGACTCAGTAATGAAGTAACCCAAAGTATGGGGACAAAAGGTAACAACACACACGGAAATGTGGAATGAAAGTACATCAGCTTCACGTAAAAAGAATAATGATTCAGGAAAATCCAAGTTAAAACCACAATGAGATAACACCTCACATCTGTTAGTATGGCTTATATCGAAAAGATAAAAAATACCAATGTTGGCAAGGGAACCCTGGTACATAATTATGAAAACAGTATGAAGTTTTCTCAAAATAACTCAAAATAGCATTGCCACATGATCCAGCAATCCCACTTCTGGGGACACACACACACATACACACACGCAATGAAATCAGTATGCTGAAGAGATGACTGCACTCCCATGTTCACTGCAGCACTATTCACAATAGACAAGACACGGAATCAACTTAAGTGTCCATCAAGGATAAACAGATAAAGAATATATGGTATAGATACACAATGGAATACTATTCAACCTTAACACAGAATGAAATCCTGTCATTTGCAACAAAACTGATGAATCTGGAGGACACTAAGTTAAGTAAAATAAGCCAGGGACAGAAGAAAAAAATACTGCAGGTTCTCACTCATATGTGAAACCTAAAAAAGTCAAACTCACAGAAGCAGAGAGTAGAATGGTTAACAGTACATATGGTTAACAGGGGCTGGAGGGATTGGAGTGGAGAACAAGGAAAGTTGGTTAAAAGATACAAAGTTTCAGTTAGGCAGAAGGAATGAGTTCTGGAAGTCTGCTGTATAGCATGGTGACTATAATTAATATTAATTTACGTATATTGGAAAATTGCCAAGAGAGTAGATTTTAAGTGTTCTCACCAGGAAAAAAAATTGTGTGGTTATAGATAGGCTAATTAGCTTGATTTACTCTTTCTGCAATGTATACAGACATCAAAATACCCTGTACCCCATAAATATATACAATAAACTTAAAAAATAAGAATAATGATTCATGCCCACATAACTGACATTACTAGTAATAGTAGCTAACATTTACCGAGCAATCTCTGTGTGTCAGGCACTGATAAGGTACACCGTGTAGATTATTTAATCCCCATAGGCATTTTCATTGGCCTTATTTATACAATTACACTGAGGCATGGAGAGGACCAGCATCTCACTCAGCATCAAATATTCAAGTGGAGGAATCAGAAAACAAAGGTAGGTGGTCTGATAGCAGAGTCTGTAGTCTTTCCCATCAGGCTGTTTGGTCTTTTTTGACTGGATTCAGGCACAGGAAAATTGTCCAGTCACTCTCCGCCCCCACCCCATGCCATCTCCCACAACCACCCGCAGCACGCTCTCAGATCTAGCTGGAAGTTGCCTATCATGCATGTATATATTTATTCAATATTTCTAATTTTATATCCAATATACAGGCACAGGTTTTGGCCTTTTCCCTGTCTTCAACACAGGCAGACAAGACAAACCACTTGCCTGCATTTGCCAACTTACATGTATTGGTGAGGCGGGGTCAGGCTGGACGCTCTAAAACACAAATCAGAAGTGTCTGTGTCATCATCTTGTGATTTCAAAGCTGCATTAGTAAGAGTATGCGTTACTGGAAAGAATTAGATGCGACCTTGCCTTTAACAGGGAGTACTGGCAGCTGGCCATCACAAGGCAGAAGAGAAGCACCCACATGTCTTTGCAAAAACCCCGGTTCAGTGTCAGAAATCCGAGGAGGGAAACCAGGACAATGAGTAAACTCGCCAGCACATTCTCCTTGACATCTTCAGTTCTGTGCAAAATACATCAATCAAAACAAAGAAAATAAGAGGTAAGTTGGTTCACTTCTAAACAGAGACTACCGACCCGCTTGTTTCTAAAGAGACAGACTGACAGCACAGTAAGCAAGCCTTTATATAGGATTAGGAGACTTTGTTTCTTTCTTTACTCCTGTGCAATATACACCAAAATCCATATTTTAAACCCAGATTTGTTATTTAAATACATTAAATGTCATCTCATTGGATCTCCTTGTCCACTAAAGTGAGTTTACTGACAAAAGTCAGCTAATGATTCCATCCACAACCCTGAAATGTGTTTCAGATAACGTGCTTCACTGGGTCCCTTCAACAGAGGGGGTGGTGGGTTGCATTAACACCTGACGAAAGCAGGAAATTGTTTCCAGATACAGTCTCTGGAACTAGAGTTTGCTGCTCAGTTTTAGAAGCCAGGAGTTGAAGGGGAGCTGCAACTTCCTGGTGGTGCAGAGAGCCTGTTGTGGGTGTATCATGACCACTCTGTCTCACCAGGTGAATTTTTCTTGTGTGACTCCCCGAATGAGGTGTAGGGTAGAGAGGTGAGCTCATCCAGAGGTGAAGTGTTGTCAGATGGGTATGCAGAGGACAAAGTAAGAGAGTTTTAGGACACTGATAAGAAGGGGGCCAGGAGCAGTGGCTCACGCCTATAATCCCAGCACTTTGGGAGGCTGAAGTGAAAGCATCACCTGAGCCTGAGGGTTCAAGACCAGCCTGGGCAACTAGGCAAGACCTCATCCCTACAATAAATAAAAAAATTAGCCAGGTATGGTGGTGTGTGCCTGTAGTTCCAGCTACTCGGAAGGCTGAGGTGGAAGGATCACCTGAGCCCAGCAAGTCGAGGCTGCAGTGGCCATGAGCATGCCACTGCACTCCAGACTGTGTGACAGAATGAGACTCCAACTCAAAAAAAAAAGAATGGGCTGAAGGGGTGAATAATGAAACCAGCAACTGAGGCCAGCAAGGGCTTCAAGATGGGAGAAGGTCCATGGGTCAAAGTGCTAGAGAACATCTGAAGGAGGTGAGTTGCAGGGGCATAGGTTTTTAACTTATTTGATAAAGTACCAAGGAGTGAGACTGTTAGATGATATAGTAACAATATGCTTCCTTTTGTAAGAAACGGCAGAACTGTCTTCCAAAGTAGCTGTCTGATTCTGCATTCCTACCAACCTCCCAAGGATGAGACTTCCTGTTGCTCCACATCCTCACCAGCATTTGATGTTGTCAGTGTTTTGGATTTTCGCTATACTAACAGGTATGCAGTAGCATCTCATAGCTGTTTTAATTGGCAATTCCCTAATGACAAAAATGTAGAGCCCCTTTTCATATGCTTATTTGCCATCTGTATATCTTCTTTGGTGAGGTGTCTGTGCAGACCATAAGCCCATTTTTGGATTGATTATTTATTTATTTTTAATTGTTGAGTTTTAAGCGCTCTTTGTGCATTTTGGATGACAATCTCTTGTGTCAGATATTTCTTTTGTAAATATTTTCTTCCAGCTTGTGGAACATTTTTTAACAAACGAATAAATGAGTGAAAAAGAACCCAAGTCTAATGCTGTCACTTGATGCCTCGATAGCTAAAGAAAACAAGACAGAAATATCTAAGGAGAAATTTTTTTAGGAAATACACGACTGAATGCATGAATCATCTGCTAAAGACTTTCGTATGTAATTACAGACAGGTGACTGGCAAAGAGATATAGATTTCAGAGATCCAACAAAATAGAAGAATAAGTTACTACAGGAAAATAAGTTTGTAGCTAAGCCTGCCAAGAAGCACAGCCTTGGGCCTCCCACAGAAGGGCGGGAGAAAAACTCTGGAGGCAACAGCCAGGAGATGGAAAACAATGGTTGATCTGGCTGATTGGATGGCAGCCGACATATTACAGAACAATTGAAGTAAGGTCAAAGACGACACAGAAATGTATTAAAAGGTTAAATATTCAGATATCATGATGCACAAATTAAAAGAAAATTTTTTTTTGGTGAATTAGTTGATTTAGTAAAAATTAATTTGGTGAAAGTAATGAATTTGGTGAAAAGGGAAATTTGCGTGTCTTTTATTATCCAATATGCACCTTTAATAGAGCTAAATATATTGTGTTACTTCTGGCCCATATAATACATTATGCGTTCTTTGGTATGCTATAGCATTTTGATGTATACTTAAAAATATATAAAGGCCTTGGAAAAGAAGCAAAACAAAACTTTCAAAACAAAAAACTTTTTTCTTTTTGAAGGGAAAAACATAAAGTTCCTGAAAAGCACCACTTTCCCCCCAAATTCTCCTCCACCAGGATTCCATTCCTCCGTCCTGCTTTCACAACGCTACTCCCTCGGTTTCTCATGTGTCTGTATTTAAATAGTGAGGTTAAAAGTTTGCTTGCCAGGCAAGAAGCGACATGGTTAGGGCTGCTCTTTGGAGAGATTTATGGTGCAGAAGTTTACAAGGTGCTTTGGAGGGAAACACGACCAGAGCGAGGATAAACACCACTCCCAGGAGGGGCAAAGAGGGCCTGGGAAATCGACCTGGCTGGGGGAATAGGAAAGGGCCTCTGACTTTAAGACACAATTTAGGGTTAGAAAGAAAGGATCGTGTGATTCTGATCAAACGGGCTGTGTACAAAGAGGGGCTGATTGAAAGAATAAGAACTATTCCAAAGTTTCAGTGTGGTGAGGGATAGGTTATAGACTCATCCATGGCAGAAACTGGGAAGGGAGTGATTTGCAAAGAGACATTGGTTCATTCATTCAGTCACCAAAAGTGCCGAGCACCCACCACCGCTCTAGCTGCTTGGGACACACCAGTGAACACAACAGATGGAGCTTCCTTTCTAGTAAGTGTTGCCATAAAGTAAGCATGATCCAAAAAAATCAAGTATATGGTATAATATGTAAAGAAAAAAGAATACAGCCAGGCGAAAGAAAAGGTGACAGGGTTGGCCACACAGATATCTGAAAGAAGAATGTTCCGTGCAGAGAGAACTACCAGTGGGCAAAGGTCTTAGGCTGGCGTGGTGCCGGGCCTGGTTGAAAACGGAAGGAAGGTGAGCGTGAACGGAGAAAAGGGTGCAGTGATGGTGGCAGATGAGGTCAGAAGGTGAATGAGTGGCTATGTCGTGAAGGACGGGTGAGAATTGTGAGCACTTCCGTTTTCATTTTGCGGGAAACGGGGAGCCACTGCGGGTTGGGCAGCAAAGCAGCGACATTGAAAAGCCTCACTCTGTTCTAAGAATAGTGTACAGGGAGAATGGATAGGCACAGGGAAGATGTTACTACAGTCACCGGATGAGAGATAAATGGCCCAGACCATGGTGGTCCCAGTAAAGCTGGAAACATGCAATACACACATTTGAAGGAAATAGTGCACACAACTTCCTGTGAGCGATTGAATGTGGGTAGGAGAGCAAAGAAGACTCAAGGATGATGCCAAGATGTTTAACCAGAGAAACCAGAAGGGTGGGTGGTCAGGAGCTGAGATGGAGAAGACTACAGAAAGAACAGGTTTGGTTGAGGTTGAAATAAACAACTCAGTGGTGGTCTATGATCACGAGATGTCAATTTGGTAGCTAGATAGACAAGTTGAGCATTCGGGAGATGGGACTAGAGGGTGATATAAATCTGAGCGTCACTGGCACATTTAAAGCCATGAGACAGAATGCACCCACCAAAGAAAAGAGGGCATTCAGAAAAAGAAAGAGGACCAAGAACCACGTAGCACCTGGGGACTCCAACATTAAAGGGTCAGGAGGCGCAGAAACCTGTAAAACCTTCCCTCCGATGAAGGAGCCACCAGCAAGGCAAGAGGAAAACCAAGAGAAGGCTGAGTCCTAGAAGCCAAGAGAAGAGTGTCTACCATGAAAGAGGAGAAATAAACTCTGTCAAATCTGCCATTGGGTTTAGGAACATGAGAACGGAAAAGGTGGGGTCAATGGTGACCTTGACAAGGGCAGGTTCAGTGGAGCATTGGTGCCAGGTAAGGGAGCAGAACGGAACGGGATGATGAGAGAATGGAAGAAGAAAAACTGGAAACAAGCGCAGGCCACGCTTCCAGGAATTTTGCTTCCGGCGGGGCAGAGAAACAGGGTAGTTGCTGGTAAGACAGTGGGCTCAAGAGAGGATTTCTAAGGATGAGAGAGATGAGAGTATGCTCTTCTGATAACAATGATGGCAGTGAGTTCAGTTTGAGAAGCGGGATGGTTTTCTCTCTCCCTGTCAAGTAGCTTTCTCCTTCTCATATTTTATATCCCAGTTTCTATGTTTCCTCCTCCTCGGAAAAGCCTTTGCCAACCACCAGTTCTAACACCAGTGTCTCCCCCTCCCCCAGGTTCCTCTATCTCAGGTCTTTATGTGTTTCTTTCATGGCACCTATTGCAGTTTTCTCTTCTCCCCCAGTAGACTGTAAGCTCCGTCAGGGCTGGAGACAATGGCAGTCTTCTTCAGAGCCCAGCATGAAGTAGAAGCTTGGATTAATATTTGTTGAATGAATGAGTGAAATGGTGAAATGATGCGCAGAGGGCAGCTTCTTATTTTAGATGATGGCCTGATAAGCTAGAAAAGTGAAAACAAAGCCTCGGTGTTTTTCAAGAATAAGAGAAAATAAGCAAAGAGAATAGGACGAGTCCCAAAATATCTGAGTGGAATGGATGGAGACCTGCAGGCCAGCGGGAGAGGCTGCAATTACGGCAACCATGAAGCTACTGCTCAGAAACTAAGAAAGCATTTTCAAGGAAGAACAACCTGACTCCAAGAGTTAAGTTGAAAAACATCAGGCGGAAGGCCTTACCCTAGGGGAGTTTATAAAACGATTAGCACGATTTCAGTGCTTCTCACTGATTTCTTTCACTTCCTGCCCAGCCCTTACAGTTTGTTTTTTATTATGCATATTACACATTTTTACAGAGCTCCCAGGTGATTCTGACCAACAGTCTTGCTTGGGGATTACGCTCTCCAAACTGCTCAGTTTTTCTAGGTCAGTATTTTGGGTTTCTTCCTCCTTCCTTGCTGTGAGCTGCGGGTTCATGCAGTCCCTTTCCTCCTCTTAATTGACTCTGAATTGCAAAATCAGATCACTAATCCTGCTCAGAGATGACTTTAAAGTAGGTCTAAATGGCTCTGAATTAAGGGTGATGTTGCCTATGAACTAAGGGTCTAAATTTTAGTGTCTAGATGTGATCGAATCTACTCAGGCCTAAATTTTAGGGTCTAGATGTGATAGAATCTACTTAGGCTACCCTAATTTTATTTTATTTTATTTTTTACAGTTTTCTTCTTTCTGGGTTCTGGGCCACATTCCAAGTAATAATAATAATAATACTAACAATAACAGCAACTAATATTTAAAGACTTCTCTCAATGGGCTAAATTGATTTAACTCTCAAAACTTCCCAGTGGTATAGGTTATGCCCATTTAACTGAAAGGAAACCAAGACACTGAAAGATTTCACAGCCATCCTAAGATCACAGCACTAATAAGTGGTAGGGACTAGATTTGATTTCCAAGGACTGACTCCAGAGTCCAGGAACTCCCCACACCAATGAAAACAAAAAAAATCTATGGATAAGAGAGTAGTGCCATTTCTAGGTCATCCCTAAGCACAAAATGTAAAAGCCCATTATGACTCATAAGCAAGGTGATTAAAACTAAAAACTGCAGCCATCTTCTTTATTATTCTTTTTTTAGACCTCCACTGGATTTTCAGTTACTTTTTGTCTGCAAGTAGATTTTAAAATAAGAAACAGAAACATACAGACACATTTGTCTTTAATATGAAGGGTTAACACAAGCTGGTCCAGCTCTCAATAAATTCTTTTTAACAGAAAATAATATTTCCAAAAAGCGCCTCATTGAACAGAATGTATTATCTTGGATTATTAGTTGAGTATTAAATGTTCCTGTTAAGTGTACGCCCCTTGGGTGCCATGCTGCTGTTAGGAAAACCATTATGACTCCATTCCCTGACTTGGGGTCCTGAGATTTACTGTTGTAATTTTGCGTGACTATAGTTTTTTCTTATGTGATCACAGTATTTAAGACATTGCCATAACAAGCAGTCACTGGGGGGACGACAGACTACAAGACAGACAACCAGCTTTCCCATTGCCCCCTTGGGCTGGCATTAAACTGTGGAACTCGGCCATTGCTTGTGGCAGCATTAGTAACAGCATCTTAAATTTTCAAACCAACCTTCCAGTCAGTGCTACTCAGTCCTTGAAGAGTCTTCGCACATTTGGTGGTAGTGGCTAGAAATCGAAGCCCCCTACCTAGCCCCATCTCCATCATGCCTTAACCAGTCTTAGCTTTTCCTCTTCTCCCTCCTCACCCGGAAACCACATCTCCAACCCCACAGCATATTATCCTGAGAAATAATGGTAAGAGGAGGTGAGGAAGAAGAAAAAGGCTTAAAGAAAAGATTCGCATTCATTTTCATCAGACGTTCATCAGACGTTCATTGCTCATAATTGCGATGAGAATCCAAGCTATCCAGGGAAGAGGTAGAAATCACCTCACTTCTTCCCTCCTCTATCCATGCCCATGCCCATGCCCAGTCAAGCCAGGCCCTGTGCTACAGATGGAGCCTCCAACTTTCCTACAAAAAAGGGGCAAGGCACAAGCATAAACTGTTCCCAGAGCTAACCTTAATACACGCCATGCGACCCAATTCTTATCTCCCATGGTAACTGACGGATTATAATTGTTTAAGTTGTCAGACTCTTACTGCTTTGACTTTGGGTTTGCAGCCAAGGAGGTATACAGCTTGAAGATGTTCTAGGGAACCTTAGCAAGCGGCAGTGTTCTTTCTTAAAGCATGCGAGCGGGCACTGTCATGCCCCCATTGTGTCTAAGATTGTGCATGTGCATGCTTCATGGCTTACCGATCAAGCAACGCCAGCAAAGTAAGTCGGTCGTACCAGACTTTAATCCACTTGCCAGGGAAAATGATAAATTTGTAAAACTGCTCTCGGTTAAATTTTCCTTGTGTTGAAGAACATGAAGAGTCTTCCAGATCCTGACTCACATGCTTTTAGATACCAAAAGAAATAACAGAGAAAGGATTTCACATTGTCATGCCATGGCCACAAATACACATCGTAATTTAAAAATCCAAAAAGCAGATGCTCGAATTCTGAACTGTAAACCAACATATTTCATTTAAAACAGATACTCTAAGAAAAGGATGATGATCAAGAAAAAAGTCTTTCTTACCAACACACTTCAATTCCATCCAAATCTACTATTCAAACTATGCCACTTGTCACATCCCAACACCACTGTTCGTTAAGGCCAATAAACTGCCATAAAAATAGTTCTTGTGAAAGATAAAAATTCAACAAAAGATCTTAATTGCCCTAATTTATGAAAAGCCTGTTACTTAATGTAATGTTGAGATACATATTCAAATTTTACTAAGAATTTAAAAGATTTTCATTGGCGACATCTAGGTCATTGATGAAGCCTGCTATAAGAAAAACAGAAATATTTATCGAAAAGCAAAATCTAAACCAATAAAACTGAAATGTGGGAAAATTTAGACCCAGATTCTAAAAGTTTTAACCTCAATTCATCTCTGATTAACTCCAATCCAGTGGAAAATAATTCCATTTTGGAAAAAAGAAATTAGTCTTCATTGATTTGTCTATTAAACACTTAGTGAGAGAACTGATGAGCCTAGCACAGAGCTGGGAAGGTGGTGATGATGGTGGAATGTATTTAGTTCATTCCAACAGTGAAGCCCCAGATTAAGTGAGGAGACTTGTTCAACACCCCACCTGTACTGTGGCTCCTGACTGCCGTGCATACAGACTGTGAAAATCCAAACCTCCCGTTCACCTCCTCCTTTCCTGCCTGGCCACTGCTTATCACTTACTGATAGCGTCCTTAAGCCCCTGCAGATCTTTTATTTCTAAACTGTATATAATTTTAATTGTGGTAAAAAAAAAAAAAAACACACATAAAATTGACTATCTTAACCATTTTTAGTGTGAAATTCAGTAGTGTTAATGGCATTCACCTTGTTGTGCTACAGATCTCTAGAAACTTTTCATCCTGCAAAATTGAAACTCTGTACCCACTGAAACAACTCCTCATTCCTCTCCTCAGCCTCTGGCAACCACCATTCTATTTTCTGTCTCTAAGAATTTGACTGCTCTCGGTACCTCACATGTGTGGAATCACAGAGTATGTGTCCCTTTCTGACTGACGTATTTCACTTAGCTTAATGTCCTCAAGGGCCATCCATGTGGTAGCATGCGTTAGAATTTCCTTCCTTTTTAAGGCTGGATAACATCCCATTGTATGAATACATCATGTTTTGTTTACCCACTCCTCTGTCAATGGACACTGGGGTTGCTTCCACCCTCTGGCTACTGTGAAGAGTGCTGCTCTGAGCACATGTATACAAATATCTCTTTGAGATGTTGCTTTCAGTTCTTTGGGATATATACCTAGAAGTGGAATTGCTGGATTTTTGTTTGTTTGCTTGCTTTTTGCCCTGCATTTTTCCAAAATAAATTTAAGCTATGATTCCCTGTAGGCTGACAAACACAAGGCACGGGAGATTGAAAAAAGGGTGAATGCAAGAAAGGGAAGAGTAAGACAGAAGAGCAACCATGGAGGTAGCACCGTCTTATAAAGGCCTTTCACATTTCTCTTTGGCTTACAAAGCACAAGGTTGCGCACGGTCAGGCTACATGACTTTCTTGCTAATTCAGGAAAAGTCACTGATGTCAGAGTGCCTGGCATGCACGAGGGCAGCACGGCCACTTCATCAGAGACCACTGCAGAACTCTCCCAGAAGGCAGATTTTACCCTCACTCAATTTCCAGATGCTAATCCACAGACTCAGCTTATGGAGCATGGAGTTATTCCGGAGATCAAATATTAATGCAAAAGGCATTTGAAGGGAAAGTTGATCCATCATGAAGGCAATATACAGAATGAGTCGGGCTGAATGATAATAGGACAGTTGAGACTGTAAGTACCACTTGTGCACAGAATTCTATTCCAGCATAGACGAGAGCTTTGCAGAAACTGCCTGGTATCAAGTCAGCAGGAATGGCTTCTTCTTTGAAGGACATGATGAACTTGTGGTTTATAGCAAAACTTCCCCCTAAAAAAGATCCTTTTCCTTGATACCCCATGGGCAAAGAGTGCAAGTAAGAAATAGGTGCACAGATGCCCGTGGTTGACTGTTTTTGTGATATGGGAATTCACACATGCTGGAAGGGTAGATAGCAGCTGAGATGACAGCATTCTAACCAATAATAAGAAAAACGTCTCCTTAGTTGAGGTTTCATATCACACCCTAAGCTTTTAGGGAGGGTAACTAAAAAAATCACATAAAGACTTTGTCTATATCTCTTGTAAAACTTATTAAAGATTCTGGCACATTGTGTTCTTTATTGTTGCTTAAATAAAAATCCTTATTTAAAAAAAATGCAGAATTTAATGAAAAAAAAAGAAGTGCTTTGACTTATTTTATGAGAGAAGAAGGTTCACAGAATTACATTTTTTTGCCTTAGATACCAAGGAAGCCCAGGGTTACGTGTTTTGGTGAATTTCAGTAATTATTCCTAGCCTATTTTCTGGTACCAAATTGAAATCCAAATTTTTCTCATCATTTCAAAATTCACTTTTTCACTCATCTAATAAAGTATTTATTGTATGATTGTAGGCCAGATATTACATGTAATACATGTTGAAAATTGAAAGGATAGCAAGAGAGAGTTTCTACCTTAAAGGGTTTAGAATAGGCAAGCAAACCAGTCATGAGAACATCATCACACATAGATATAAACATATCTGTATCTGCATCTGTCTACAGAGAGTGAGAGAGAGAGAGGGAGGGCGGGAGAGAGAGAGCGCAAGAGGGAGAGAGAGAAAGAGAGAGAAAGAGAGAGAGGTAAGACATCAGGGAGTATAGGCTCACCATCCCTAGAGAGAATGGAGTAAAGGGGGCATCGGGTAGAGCCCCTGGAGAGCATCAACAGTTAAGGGCCGGCAGAGGTGAGGACCCACAATGGAGACTGAGAAGAGTTTCAAATCTATGACTTCTATCTTTGACTGTAGGTGACCTAAATAATGAAAAAATAAATGCATGGAAAAACGGACAAAAAAGCTGTTTATGTCTCTGATTCATTGAAACTTGCCAAAGAACAATGATGTCGCACTGCACCATACATCAGGCCTGCAAGTTTAATTTTATTATTCTGAGAATGAGATTAGGACACGGAAAGCTGGTAGGGACAGGTGCAAGTAGAGACCAGGTTCTTTTTAAAAAACAAGATGGCTGCATTTCTTACCCACATCCCCCTGGGATGGATCTGTGTTTACAACATCATACCCAGCACTCATGTAATGAATCTGGATCATCAAGAACAACTTAGATTATTATCAGTACATCTGTTTTAAAAGGCAGAAGAGTAAAGAGTACATTTCAGAAATATTTTTAGTGGAATTTTCAAAATCAAAAATTTTTTTTAAAAAACACTTTTCAGTTACCTGAAAAATTCTACTGTTCAAAATGATGCTACCTCCAAGAGTCCCAGCTAACTAATAGGAATTTTGAATAATTGCTGTCAATTGTTAAAGTCATCATTTGCCATATATTACCTCTAATCTTGAAAATCTCATAATAACTCTCCCAAGTAGGCGCTATTATTGCCTCTCAAAATATGAGAAACTGAGGCTTGAAGAAGTCAGGCCACTGGCCCAAAGTTCTGCATCAGAAAGAGGTTTACTGGAAGCCAAAGCCTGGGCTCTTTTCGCAATCTTCCTTAAGGAGACCCAGGTGAATCCCCACATAGAGCAGTGCTCATGGGCAAAGTAAAAGCCATCTCTGCAGCAAAACGAAAAACGTTCAAGAGACAATACACGTGAGTCCAATTATGAAAGAACATGTTAAAAACACAAATTTGAAAAGGAAACCAGATCATGGAAACTGGCAAAAATCATTAGAATGGAGAACAATGGGTTACAAATAACATGTTATTTAAAACAAATCCAAAGTCAGATTTGTGACTTTGAGGACAAACTGTTTCTAATAAAAACCAAAATAATATGAGGGCTTGTGATGTGGAAGAGAAAGTGATTAGTTCTACAGAACTTCCCCAAGGTCAGAACAGGCATAGATGGATTTAAACCGCAGGCCTTCTTTTTCGGGGGAATCTTGAAAACTATTTGAGGTTCTCTGAAGGTCTGTGTACGTTTGAACTGAAAAGGCAGGGGGTAAGCAGAAAGGGTAAAGAGTGAAGGGTAGACAGTATAAAAAGTGGTCCTCTAGGTCGCCGTGTGCGATTCCTAACAGCTGTTGAGCCCAGCATGGGAAAGGTGGAGTCGGTAGGAACCCTGTAAGAAGTGGGCTCCTGAGACATCACAGCAGAGGCTGCCACAGAGGATGTAGGAACTGGAGACCTCAGCAGTGACTGAAGGACAAAGGGAAAGGAACACTGAGTAAGTGTCCCTTCGGTGCCCCAAATACCAGGGCCCTCTGAACGGCAGCTCCCTTAGATACCAAACCCCAGATGAAATAATGCCAACCCAAAGGTATCCCTTGAAGATAAGGGACACCAACTATCCCCATCCCACTTGTATTCACATCCTGATATATGTGCACAGGGCTGTGCACATATCTGGGGTTCAAGACATACACGTGGAATGGGAATTAAATCTAGATGTGAATACCTTGAAAGATAAAACATCTAAAACAAATGTGGGATGACACTATTTTAACAGGGGTTCTTTTCAGCAGCCAGAATTCAAAACAAATCATGTAGTAGATTCTAAACACATTACAGACGTGACTTCCAATGGTTCAACTTAATGATTTTTTAACTTTATGGTGGTGCAAAAGTGCTACGCATGCAGGAGAACATCAGTAAGTTACACGAGATATTCAGCACTTTATTATGAAATAGGCTTTGTGTTGAATGATTTGCTCAACTGTAGGCTAATGTGAGTGTCCTGAGCATGTCTAAGGTAGGCTAGGCTAAGCTTTGCTGCTCGATAGATTAGGTGTGTTAA